TCTGTTTTTTTTAAAAAAACTGAATGAAAAACAAACATGATTTAAACACAAATTCAGACACTTCTGTTCAAGTTTTATAAGTTTTTTATTGTAAGAAACTGATTTGGAAGAAATTATTTTGCCTGATTTTGATATTTTGAAATATTGCACTTTCAGTTTTTAAAAAAACAAAATTTCCACTTAGCTAATATTTTGGTCCATCTGATAATGTAATTTTAAAATGTTAAAACAGTTCATAATTTGACCTCAGTGGTTTCTAAATTCCTCCCCAGTAGTTTTCCACATTCAGCAGTTAAAATGTGGCCGTGGTGTGAATCAGGTCAATGACAGCAGTACTGGCAACAAGAGACGGCTTTGTGAAGGTTTCACATGTTAAGAAAAGAAACAGGTCTAATGTTTTTCTTAACCATGTGTCAAAACATCACTCAGCAGACAAGATTCACCTCAACTTGGAAGTTTTTGATGACATCCAGAAAATGTAATGAACTGTAACTCAAAAACGCTAAAGATGCTGTAAATTTAACTGGAAAATCCTGAAATGAGAAGCTGACAGATGCAGGCGCAGGCTAACATAACAGGCGTCAGGGTCAAAGACTTCAAGTTAAGGGTGAAACGCAATTTACTTATTAGTGTGAACGTAAAGAAAAAGAAGAGTAATAAATGTGAAGTTGGTTCAGTCATCTTTACCTTCCTCCTCTTCAGTTTTGCAAAAATTAAGATGAAAATAAAAAAATGTGGGAATAGAAAAACAAACAATTACTGATGTTGACATTTTATGTGACAATATAAAAAAAGGAGGAAAAATTGTTTTGAACAGAAACAGTGTAAAAAACTTAAAGGAAGATAATTAGTTGAAAACTTTCTGTAAATATCAGAAAAGGTGATAAATCATCTACAGTGGGTATTAAAGAAAAATAAAAAGTAAAACCAGCAAAGTGGATGTCTCACTTACCCTCATACCTGTAACAAGAAGGAAGGAAAGAAAGAGAGAAATAAAATTAGTTCCAGCAAATTTCAACTTAATTTTCTATTAAATAATAAATGAGTGATGAAATTCACTTACACTTCTTCAGTGTCAGACATGGTGACAACAATCTTCAAACCTGAAAGGAAATATAAAAATGTTCAAAATAAATATAATCATACGACGCACAGCTGCCATGTCATATCTGATAACATTATACGTTACTTAATTCATAAATATCTCAAAAGTTCTAACGTATTTTTGCTCTGGGTTCCTTCAAACCATAAACTTAATGAATATCCAATAACTATTAAATTCCAGTAATAAGGTTTTATTGAAAAAAAGCTTGTTGTGTTTGCTGTTTTGTACGACGGTGAAATAGAGACGCTGTGGACAGAAAACAGCAGGAGTAAATTTCACAAATAATGTAGAAAATACTCTTGACATTATTAGAAAATACTCAGAAATTTTTGAGTTTAAAAGTTGAAATTTCTTGAAAAAATTTGGACAATTCTAAGTTTCAAAAATCGAACATTTTCAACTTTTTGAAGTTTATTTTTTTAAATTCGATTTTATTCCAGCTAATTTTTGACTTTTGAAATTCAGAAAGTTTTTTTTTTTTTTAAAGAAAACTTCTGGAGATAATCTCAAAATTTTGGAGACTTTTGGCGGAAACTTACTTCTCTAGAAAACGACATTGAAGTTTTGGCAATGAAATAACAGTCACAGTTTTTATGATGATTTGAGCAACTCGCCTCCTCTTCACTTAACAAAAAGTTTTTACTGCAGTGAATCAGAAAGATTTCACTTCGGTTCCACTTTGCTATCAATGAAGACTTTTAAATAGATGAAGTTTTGTGTGAGTTCGCGGTGAGGTCAGTGTGTTTCCTGTCAGTAACTCTTCGCTCTCATGGAAAAGAATATCCTGGATTCCCACTGTCTCAGGACAGACGGTCGTTTGGAGCGGCTGATCAGAGCAGAACGCTGCAGCTGCAGGCTGTGTCCTGAAATATTTTCATGGCTTGTTCAGGATTGTTTACTCAGCTGTGTACCGAGTATCATCACCGCCTTTGCAAGTTTGTATTCGCATGTTTGACTCTGTTTCCGAGTCAAACCGCCTAGCAGATCATCAGCACTATTGAGTCTCTGAACATATTACTGCAGTAGCACAATCTCAAAACATTCGAAAAATGTTTTTTTCAGCTCACCAGACAGGTTTTCCAAAGGATTTAGGAGGGAAGGTTGAGTTTGCCAAGGAAAAATATTGCATTATGAACTTTAACATGATGCATTGTGTTTGATCTGGAAATGTGTTTTGGCTCATTATCCCTAAATGCTGCAAAAACGCTAAATTTAACCAAATAATTTCAATCTAGTTTCTTTTGCAAATATCCCAGAACATTTGCAATAAGACAAAACTGACTCTCATGTAAATTTCAGCAACATATAAAAGCTGATTTGCTTCCCTGCAGAACTCCTGCAGAACCTACAGAACCTCAATGAGAACAACAGTAATGAACTGGTTTAGATTCTCATTGATCATTTTCCTGTTTCTTGACACAAGAGCAGTCCAGTTTTCTTCTACACAATTATTTAGGATTGCTTAATTAACCTACAAGGTTAATTAGACACAATGAAGACACTTTGTTTTTCTATTTACATGAAACTGGGTCACAGTAAAACCAGATAAACATAAAGAAACGATTAAAAATGAACTGTTTCTGTGCTAAATGCACAAACGCTGTGCATGAACAAAACAGGCTTTGATTGGACCATTTTCTCAAATTCTTCCAAAAAAGGTTATATTTTGATTTTCAGATGGAAAATCTATTTTTCCTCACATCAAAAATCGAGGATGAGAATCTTTAAAATAGTCACTGTGGTGACTAAACTGCAAAAATACTAAATATTACCAAATATTTCTGTCTTGTTTTCAGTGCAGATATCTTAGACAAACTAACTTTTCAGTAAAATATAGGAGCTCGTTTTAACTCTGTAATTTCTTAACATTGATGAAAAAGCACTAGATACACTGGCAGATTATTTACCTATAACATGAAAAAATATGTTGTTATAAGTGACATAAATTAGAACTTCTTTATCAATAATTATTTTTTTAATACTTACAACAAGTTTACAACTTACAAGTAACTTTTCTTTAAGATCCTAATTTAAGTCAGTGATTCTTTAATATTGATAAATAAGTTCTAGATGTTTGTTTTGTTTTATTTACTTCCTTGAGACGTCCTGATGTAACATGATGCACAAAGTGAAACAAAAACTAATTTTAAGGCTGCTTCTACTTTTTACAAGATCAATGAAAAAAAACACAACTTTTCTGGTTTCTGAAAGAAAAATTATAACATTTATATGTTCTATTTCTAAACAGTCCAAGAAAGAAGCAGAAATCATTACAATGTGATTAAAAACCAAATCAGATCATTAAAGCCCATTGACTGGAAAAACTATATATATTCTCACCAACAGTGATCAGAAATAAGCTTCAAATTTAAAGATATTTGCAATAGAAACTAGGATTCAATTGTTTGGTAAGATTTTGTGTTTTTGCCATGCAAGGAAAACCCATCCATCTTTCTCACTCTCTGCAGATCTTTAGTGAAATCACCTCAGCGTATTTTCTACATCATATCTGTTATATATAAATTGCCTTTGGATGACTTCTTTGCTCTCAGCCGTGGGCACAGCTGCAGAAGACTCTGTGGATTAGTTCTGGATCACATTTCTGCCCATCAGCTGAGGAACAGTGTTCAAATAGCAGCTTAATCCCTCTGCTTGGTCCAGCGGGAGGATCTTCTGCTCCCAACCAGCCAATCAGAGCCCACCTCCAACCAACCAGCTTTGATCCACCTGCAGCTGACAGCGTTCTCGCCTCTGTGTGCACAGCGGTCGCGCTGCACATACCGACATTTCAGCATGCTGTATATTTAGTGAGCACTCTGGGTTTTGTTTTCTTCTGAAAACTTGGGACTTTCTGAAACTGAAACTTGGTGTTGAAACTGACTGAGCTTCTTAGATGTTGTGTCAAAGAGAGAAGTAGCTGATGGAGAATCTCAAAACCTCATGTCTCCAAGGCGTGAACTGTGTTTTCAGATCATCAGCAAGGTGGGAATCAGCTCAAACGCTGGAATACGAAGTGCAAAAACGCAAAATAGTAGCAAGTATTTTTAGTCTAGTTTCTAGTGCAAATATCTTAGTACACTTAAAATTAGACAAAACTAACTTAAAAATGACTTTTTAAGCAAGATATAGGAGTTTATTGATTGATGAGAAAAATACTGCAAGCTGCCCAGGCAGATTATTTCACTGAGAACATGACATTTTCTAGCAGTGAAACGAGAAGCTTTGACTAAAAACAAGCTTCTATATCTTGTTGAAAAATTACTTGTAAATTAGTTTTGTCTATTCTCAGATATTTACACTAGAAATAGAAAAAAATACTTCAGATTTTGTGTTTTTTGCAGAGCAAAAGAGCCAATAACCAAGTGTCAATCAACATCTTTTGTGCATTTTGAAGAGTTTATTAAATTTTAAATTTAAATGGTGACACAAAACAGTATTTATTGTATGATTGAATCATGTAGGATTGTTTTTTGGTTTAAAATAAATGGAGGATTTAGGTGATGTGTTGCTTTTTAATGGGATATATTTTAGAGCTTTAGTATCAAAGAGAAAAAGAGCTCAGATAAATAAAGCGCTTATGTCAACTGCCTGGACCAGAACATTGTGAGCAGCATTGTCATAGCGGACAATTCACAAGTCTTAATATACATCCACCAGCAATCCGGCGCTCACTTCAAAAGATTTCCAATGTCTGCATAAAAATGCCAATCAGTTTACTGACCAATGGATCTACTTTCCCTTAAAGCTTTTTCTTTTCTGCGTTTAGTGAACAACTTCTGCTAAAAACTTTCAACAGTTTCATAATTTTTTGTGGAAAAAGACAGTTTTTTCCACATAAAATGAAAAACAAATAATAGAAAAACAGTTTTTCAGGTGTATGGAAAGCAAATTCTTACCAAAAAGAGGAAGAGCAGCTCCCTCAGCGATGAGGATGAAGGTCTGTAAGAATCCGCCGGCTCCACTCAGAGAATAAGTCCTGCTGCTATAGTGATACTTGAGATCATCAGGCCCTTATTGGCTGCTGGATGAGAGCGGAGTGTGTGTGTGTGTGTGTGTGTGTGTGTGTGTGTGTGTGTGTGTGTGTGTGTGTGTGTGTGTGTGTGTGTGTGTGTGTGTGTGTGTGGATGGAGCTGGAGAGGCTGGGGGAAGTGCATCCATGACCCTGGAGAAGGAGATGGGTGGAATACTATGGATGGAAGAGGAGGGCTCAGGTTTTGGAAAGGAGCAGCTGAGAAGCTTCTGTTGCTAAATTTACAGTGATTGAAGGCCGAGAGCGGGACTTACACATCGGCTTGGCATGCAGACAATGGAAGGAAAGTCTGTGTGGCTGTTGACCATTTCATCAGCGAGGAGCTCCATCCGTCACGGCGGGAACAGAGGCACAACGCTGGAGCAAGAATAGAACAAAGGAACAACAAAAAACAAATCGCAAACTCCGTTTCTCCTGCAGATAAATGTCTCAGATCATCAGATCATCAGACAAAGAAAACCTGAGAGAACACAACTCATCATTACCAGAAATCTCAGAGATGCTTTCAAGTGCAAATATATCAGTACAAATAGCAAAAATCTAAATTAACTTACATGAATGTATGGAGGAGGATTTGATTGGATCATTTCCTCCAAAGAAAAGGTTCACAAACCATTTTCAGTTTCTCCTCACATCAGAAATTACGGATGAAACCACTGCAAAAACACTAAATCTAAAAGATTTTATCATGGATTCTCATGCAAATATCTTAGTATGCTTGAAATAAGACAAAACTAAGTTTTAAGTAACTTTAGGAAGATTTAGGAGCTTTAATTAATATTCATGAAAAGTATCAGCTTCACTGGCAGATTATTTCTCTTGTAGTAAAATAATTTTTTTTTTTTACCTTTTTCATCAATATTAAGGAATTATTGAATTGAAACAAGCTCCTATATCTTACTCAAAGTAACATATAAGTTAATTTTGTCTTATTTATGTGCTCTAAGATATTTGCACTAGAATACTTTTTGTTTTTGCAGTGGAGAAGCTCTCTGACAAGATGAGAGACTGAAACTAAACATTTAAACTCTGTTTGGTCAGATGAAAACAAATTGTTGATTCTTTGTTCAAATCGCTGCCTGTACTAAAGCAAAATCCCAAAGAAAGAGCTTCAGACGCTCACTGCTTACTGCGTTAAACAACGGATAACATGAAACAGCATCAGATCGGCGATCAGAGAGGAGAGCGGTTTAAACTTCACACACATCGGTGTTTTTACCTCCATCCCTGCTGTGTGTGTGGATGTGTGTGTCATCAGGTAGATCAGTGGCTCCCAAAGATTTTCTGGGCCTATGGATTACAATAAAATACCCCCAAAAGAAAAAAGAACCAACTGGGCTCACATTGTTCAACCAGACATAAACCTTTACACGTATTTTGTTTTCAAACTCCACTGAAGATTATTTCACACTTCAGGTTGCAACAAACTACAAACCATCTTTACAGTGAAACACTTTAACTGTGTGACTGTTTTGTTTTCTTCATTCATTCATACTGCTTCCCGCGCCCCTCCTGCAATGGCACTGCGCCACCCTTGGGGGGCGCGCCCCACACTTTGGGAACCACTGAGGTAGATAGTTGATGCTGCAGTGGCTTTGACGGTGACGGTTGAAGCAAACGCCGCTGCCTGTCAGAGGAGAAGAGATGAGAGATAAGCAGCTGGTTTTTAAAGGGGCAGTGTCGTGTTAAATAAACTTTTTTCAGCTTTTTTCAGTGATTGGAAAATACTTCCATGTGAAGCCCATCTTACTCCCAGATCTTATCCACCTCAGTGAAGGTCTGAAATCAGCCTCTGTCCTCTGATCTGGAGTCGGACAGGTTTCACTGACAGACCAGGCCCTTCTGCATGTCTACAGAAAACAACAGTTACCCCGATGTCAGCAACTTTCTTGCTATATTGAGCAAAATTTCAGACAAAAATTGGTATTGGCTAAAATCGGAATCGGCAGGTCAGATCAATAATTAGCGATTGATTGAGGAACCTTTTAATCTTCATCTGTGTTTCCATTGACCATATAATTATGCAATTTGACAATTTGAAAATAAATTTGGTTAATAGCCAATTAAAAAAAAACCTCAAGTGTTTTTGATGAAAAGTTTTTGCACCAGAATTATTATTATTTTTTTGGTTGTAACAAAATTGGTTTATTTTGAAGTGGAAACACTTTTACCGCATCACACTAGTCACATGACCAACAACTGGATGTTGCCACTGGCAGAAAGCAATTGTGGTGTTTCCATTAAGTAAGAAATTAATTTAAAATTACATGTCATTTTAAATTAACAAACAAGCCGCGCCATCATCCTCCAACCACTTCCTGTCGTCGTCTACTTTGTGGCAAATTTGTGTTTTCTCGGCATGCAAAGTTTTGCTCACAATCATAATGGAAACGCAGATAATGGCATCATACATTCAGTTCTGCAACCTGATAAAATCAAACATTTTGAATAATGACTTTCAGCTGCTTCCTTTCACTGTTGCTATAATTTACAAGGTCAATGCAAAACTGTCCTAGAGATCCTGATGTTTGGGGAGATTTAAAGGAAACAAATGGAGTAATAACATCAACTTCATGGTAAGATCTCTCATTTAAACTGGATATATTGTCACACCTTCATCTCTGTCAGCAATTTTAAACAGTTCTTTCATTAATTTAATTATTTTTCATAAAGATTTCAACTTCTGTCACAGAAATGTTGCTTTAGTGATGTGTGAATTTGAAAACCCTTTAAATGTAAAGCAAGTAGAGCTGTTAACACATAGATGTCAGAAAAATGTTTTCTATCAAACACATATGTAAATATTGTTTTTTTTAAAAAATCTGGATCTATTTATAATAAGTGGTGGATTTTAAAGCACTAATGGTTATGACTACAAGGCTAAGATGTCTACTGATGTCTTTGAGGAAGAAGGTTTGGGGTTTGAATCCCAGGCTGGATGGACAGATGAAATCACAGAGCCCCCTGGTGGCTGTATGAATCATGACAGATTGGATTTATCAACAGGTCGGAAGGAAAAGAAGCAAAAAAAAACAAATATTTAGATTTTAGATTTCTCTTGTGACCACTAATAAGTCATATTTTGGATTCTGAAAGCAGTGGAGAATAACTTAGTAATGTCATTGTGTGTTGCCACAAGGTTTCTTTGCTGTATCCACTCGCGTGTTTGTAGAGGAAAATAAAAACTTCCACAGCGCTCCGAAATAAGGATGCAAAACAAAAATTTATTCCACAGTTTTGTGAGATATCCTTTACAAGAGCAGTTGTATCTTATCTAACCTTCACAAACAACTACGGTTGAAAAACCGTGTGGCTCTGTAGATAAACTAGCAGCGTCTTTCCTTTCTTTCTTGTTAACGCTACAGCGTCCACACCTCATTTGCATAAATTGCGAAATGGACACTTAAACTATAAACATACAACTTAAAATAAAACACTCATTGACAACAAAACATTACAAAATTAGCTACATGCAGTACTAATAATTCTTCCTAAACTTAAAATAAATTCACTTATTAAATTACATATTAAACAAAATGTTTTAACAATAACTGAATATTACTTCACATTAACTTGGCCTCCACACATTGTTTTTTTTCCTCCAATAAAAGTTTGTAATTTAGATGATCAAATGCAATTTATTTATAAAAAATAATTAAATGCTTTGGTTTTATCTTGCTAATCAACAAAATCATTCTACAGGTAAATACTTTTACAACAAAAAACATTCAGCAGTATTCAAAAAGGTAATTATTTTACTTATAACATGAAACAAATGAAACTAGCATTTTTAAAAATATTTGTTCACTTTTCTTGATGAATTTTGTCAAATTTCAAGTGTAATACGATATTTGCACAAAAAAGCTAGTCCATAAATACTTGGAAACATTTTGAGTTTTATGAGTGTAAATCCTTTTCAAGTGAATAATTGTGAGCAGAAATCAGGGAGATAAAATAATTTTTTTATAGTGTAAAGTAGTAATTCAGATAAAGTCTGTTTGTAAAATCCTAATTTAAGTTGTGGTTGCAGAAACAGAGGCAGTTTGTTGATAAGAGCTTCTTCTCCTCTGCCACCTTCCTCCAGGTGCAGGTGGCCGTCGCCCGCCGGTAGGGGCTGCACCTGCGCCGTCTCAGGTGGCCCGGAAACCCCCATCTGCCCCTGCAACACACACTGAAGGCAGCAGCTTTATTTTTGGAGCGTCTGCAGGCACCGCTGCTCGCTCCCCGAGGCTCCAGTTGACTTCAGGATGAGGCGGCCCTGCTGCTCTCTGAGCCCGGATTAACAAGCAGAGAACAGTTTTTTATTCACCTGTCAGCTGAAGGTAATCCAATCAAAATAAGAGTCTGCTGGTTCTGGTGAAAGGTCCTGACATAAAGAACAGCTTGTGCACGATTGGTAATTTCAAATGCTTGGTGCATATCAGACATTAAGATGTATCCTCAGGAGGATGGGCTTGCAAACAGGCGCCTAACATGCTGCATGCCTTGCATACACTTGTGCTAAGATGGATGAAAAAGGAGCATGAATCACATGTTAGCTAAAAAATCTGCATTTTTAAACTTTTCTTGTCAGTTTAGTGAGAAATGAGCTCTAACGTCACACTGTTGTTTCCCTCACAGCCAATAAAAGAAACAAAAAACACAAGAAGCACAAGCATCCAAGTCAGGTAAGGCTTTAGATTAATAATGCAAATACAAAACCATTCATTTCATCTAACTAACTGCTTTTTAAGTAGATGGATTGAGGTCATGGCCCACTTTTAACACAAAGCTAATCTTACACTTTCCTCTTTTGCTGCCGGAGTGAAAACGTCCCTGATGTCCCGTCCCAGAGCCTTAAATAGGGGGCGTCTCATGTTGCAGCTGCGCTTTTTGTCTCTGCGATGACAGGAGTCACTTTGACAGCAGGGATTTGCGATAAACATTTACTCAAAAAGCATTTCAGATTTCAAATAATTCAAATCAAGAAAAGTTTCCAAGCGTTACCAAGCCTGAGCTTGGTAACTCGGTTCAGGGTGAACTTGACTGCTTCCTAGGAGAAAGCAGAGAGATTATGTCTTAAGTAGAAATTTAACAGACATTCTCACACGGCTACACGAGGCTCAGCGCAGTCAGAGCCTCTCGGAGGATTTGAGCCTCAGATTGATTACAGGAGACCTGAAGCGGTTCCACTAAGTACAGGACAGCAGGCAGCAGGTGCTGCTCTTATTTCCATCGCACTAAAATTAGAACGTGGATCTCCTAGAGCCACTCACAAACTCTCCACCACCTTCACTACACAACTTATTCCCATCGCTTTCACAGATTTCCCCCCTTTTGTTGGAAAATATCAGTTGGACTTTGGAAAAGCTGTTAGATTTCAAATTAGTGATGATGAATCAAACAAAAGCTTGTTCCACTGATTAAACTGTGATCACGCTGATCTGGAAATTAGAGGTTATTTTTCTGAATTTTGTAAGAATATTTCTGCAGCTCACCCAGAATGTATACACTGTGCGCACAATGTTTTGAGAGCCAATAATGCAATTATGGCACAAACGAATGTAGCTCAGAGTGGGTTAATACAAATTAGCTCAACATATTAGCAATTAGCATATAAACAACAATAATCAATCCATAAATAGTATTGCATAACGAAGCTACATAAACCATAATCAAACTTTTACATAAATGTCTGACTTTTTCTTCACCGTTTACAATATTCACGCTTCTTATGACGCACATTGACGAAGTCTGAACGGCATCGCTCCTCTACAGATATGAAACTAACCAAAACTATTCGCTCTCAAGCGACGCTTGCTTCTGATTGGCCAGAACAGCTGTCCAAATCATAAGCCCATACCAATCAAGTTTATTTGCATAACATATTTCAGAAACAAGGCAGGCAAAGGCTTTACATTATGAAAACATAAAAAAAATTATAAACACATCATACAGTCAAAAACCAATATTATTAAAATCATCAATATACATCAAATATGTTGGTCAATGTTCAGCTTATTAAGGTTCAAAAGCAGCTCTAAACAGGTGAATCTTTAGCCTTTGTTGAAAGGGACTCAATATTTCAGCTGTTTTCCAGTTTCCTGGAAATTTGTTCCAGATTTGTGGTGCATGAAGCTGAAAGTTGACCTTTAATGTATTTTGTAATACACTAGTAGCCCACGCCCAGGTTGTTGGCGTCCGGCTCAGAGTAGAGCTCTGTGCCAGTTACCGATCCACCCATGGGACCATCCATCTGCTCCGTTAAGAGGCACTCTCATTTCATCAGACTATGAAACCTTTGAAAAATCTGTGTTCAGATATTTCCTGGCCCAGTGAGATGCTTCAATTTATGTGTCAGGTTTCAGCCTCCCTTACCTTGGCCATCATGAACATCATCATCTTCTAGATAATACGTCTTGTAGTTGTGAAGTATGAAAGAACTCGAAGAACTTGAAGATAATGAGTTCATAGTACCTTAACGCTTGATTCTTCTCAAATCCTTGGCAGTTAATTTGGGTCTTTATTTTTCTCAACATGTTTCTTGTCTATCTGCAACAAAACATTTGATAATTCTTTGATCATGCTCCAATATCTGGGCAATTCAAGAATGATGCAGCCCTTTTTGGACAAGTAAACCTTTTTTTGTCCCCTTTTTTGCCAAAAGGGATAAACTACCCAATAATTCTGCACTTCGGCCGCCTCCTCGCTCATTATACACACTAAAAATATGGCCATAATACTCACTTGCCAAATATTTGAGCCCAAAGTGCAAGTTATTTAACTTTTGGGCTATTTCAAGTTAATTTGAAGACTTAATGTGGAATTTACAGATTATGTTGGTGCGACTAACTCATCCCAGGAAATCACACACTTTCCAGGAACTATTACAGTTTATACTCTGGAACTTTGAGGTTCATTTCCATAATTTGCCAGCAAAATGACTGCTGGTAATGTAGGCAGCAGTAGTAATGTCATTACATAAACATATGTTACTATTAGGTTTAAACCCCTTATATCTGTTACTATTAGGGTTTAGATGTGTGCAAAATTTCCACATTAGTGTTGACTTTCTGGTGCTTACCAAGAATTCATGTTACTTTATAAATCTTACAGTTCATACTTTCATGAATCTTTCAGATTTTTTTGGAACTCAGGACATTTTTTTAGCATCTATAGTTCAGGGTTAGGATTAGGGTCGCTATGGATTTCGGAGTCTGTTCATTGTTCAGACTTCTTTATGTCCTCAAACTGACCAGTGAATTAATTTAAAGCCTCTGTTACTTGGAGACGCCATTCTTGCTGAATAAACTCTCAGTTACCCTCCTGTAGTTTTCAACCATCTTACTTGAGGTTTACTTCTATTTATTGCAGAGGTAATTTTAAACCATGACCATCTTCATAAGAAGACTGTCCGAGTAAATAGCCTGTCATCATTTCAAAGCTTACCTACTTAAAGAAACATCTTTAAATGTCACTCTATTTCTAATTCACATGCATCTTGTAACTGTGCATCATTTTCAAGACCCAATTAAGATCTTTTGAGCCTGGAAATGAATCTGGTGTTATAAGATCTCAGTTCTCAGTGGCCAACTTGACTCCAAGCCATGACAAGGGTTATACGAGCAAAACCAGTAAGCAGCTGAATACTATACTGGGAGCACTGTAGAAGAGAACGATTATACCTCGTGATAAATAACAAACAAATGTTTGACGAAGGAGTGATAAAGAAAATAAGGAACGCTAAAAAGTACTTTATTCAAATTTATTTGATTGTATTCAAAGACACAATAAGTACAGAAAGACTTCAGTCCCAAAGCAAAAGAAGGATTTTGGTATTTTTCCAGATTATAGCCCAACAAAAAGAGAATGGTGAAGCGATAGTGGCTTGTCGTCCATTATTCCAAAGAGGAGTTTCACAAATCTTCAAAGAGATGTTCAGCTATGAAAGAAGGGAAAAAAAGACATTAATGTAATTGATACTAATCTACTAAACAATTTTAATTTACATTAAACAAACAAATGTACAGAAGAGGATCAGAGCCACTGGATAAAAATTATTCTGATATGAGAAATTTTGACTTTTGATATGAAATGAAACTCCAAATTCTGAGAAAAAAAGAAAATTCAGATTTCTTTTTAAAAAGTCAGAATTTGGATATTAACGTTCGAACTCTCAGAAAAAATGTCAGAATTCTGACTTCAATTTCAGAATTCTGAGTTTTCAGAATTCAGAGGAAAACAGTTCTAACTAATTCTGAGATCAAAGTTGGAATTCTGAGAAAATGGTCAGAATTCTGAGATCAAAATGAGAATTCTGACTTTTGTTTCAGAATTCTGACCTTCAGAAAACCAAAGGAGATCAAAGTCTAAATTCTGAGAAAAAGTGAAAAATCTTTTTTCCCCTTGTGATCCTAATCCTCTTCTTTATAGATGAGTATGTAAGTGGATTATTTAGTGGTATAACTATTTCTCGTTACTGTTGTTATGTTCCATTTCTCTGGTAGGAACGTGCAATGCTGATGGAAGTGTGTTACACTAATGGACTGGAGACAGACCTTTCGCAGCAGTATCCTCCCCCTCTACTGCCAAAACCAGGCAAAGACAATGCAAGGCTTCAGAAACTCAAGAAGAAGAGAGCCAAGAAAAAAGGCAGCCTCTCTCAGACGCCCATCCCCTTCCGCTCCTGTTTATCGCCTGTCAATGAAGCCAGCACAGACCTAGAGCACAGTGACCAGTGCAGCCCACCAAGGACACCAGAGTCACTCTATGTTGCTGACTCCTCTGTCCAGTTATGGTTCGTTCTACAATCACTCTGTCCCTGCATTCCCTCACCCTCAGGGCAGTCTCAATGGACAAACCAATAGCTTTCACCCGCCATCCCACCCAGCCGGGTTCAGGACCTCTGAGCTGCAAGTGGCTCCGCTGTACGAATGCTCCTCTTTCCTATTTGATGATACTTCTCCCTTCATAGTTCCACCTTTGACATCTTCTGCAGCATGGCAGCAGGTTTCCACCACGTCTTCCCCAGCTTTCAACATAACTTCAAATTCCCATGGGTCAGTCACAACAACCTCTCCAGTTGCTATTTCGCAGTGCAGCCCAAAAATATCAACCCACAGCCTGACCCTGTCCACTGGTGCCGCCAACTCCGGCATTGACCTAACGCCTTCTCACATTGCAGGTCTTTCTCCTGCTCCGGTGCCCCTATCAGTTTCAAACACTCACACACAGCCATTCATTCCCAGCCAGAGGGAGACAAACACTAATATAAAGAATGACTTTCAGAGACAGACATTAACTAGAGCTAACGTAGCCTGCATTGGCAACAGTGCTCTTCGGCAGATGTCTTCTGAGATAACAGCTTCTAAAATATCTCTTGTCGACGCAGTGAAAGAGCCAAAGACTGAAGCCATGCCAGCTAAAATCTATACATCAAAGGCCACATTTTATGAGATATCCAAACCTCACTCTGTCCAGGATCTCACAGTGATGAACCTAGCCCACCAAGGAGCCTCTTTATCTGGAGGATTCAGTCAGAAAGCCTCTGTGCCATCAGTAAATGCTGATCAGGAACTGTCTTCACCTTGGATACAGAGTGTGAGACCTTTGCCTTTGGCTCACACACCAGCTCAAATATCAACTCCTATTTTTGAAACGTCAAAACCCAACCCACTTACATCGACTATGAACCCTACTTTCAACCCCTTCCAGGATTTACAAGCATCAGTTATTAAGAAAGAGGCACTAAGAGACAATCCAGCAATTCCAGGTTGGTCTTTGGGTAAACCTTCAGCTGTGACTGAAGCACAAAACCAAAAACTGATGACTATAATCAAACTTTCATCAAACAACAAAACATGTATAGGGAAATAGACATTCCCAGTACACGGAAGAGTACAATGAATCTAAGTATGGTCACTTGTGAGTCACACCCCAGAGAGAATATGAGTATGCATGAATTTCCTGTGGTTAGACCTACAATAACACAGTTTGTCAACCCCAACACAGACCAGGTTGAGGAAAGCAAAGTTTCATTGCTGCCAAAGGTTCCATCATTTCTTTCTGTACCAACAAATCTCAGCTCTACACCTTTGATTTCAGTGCAAGGGTCACAAAGTCCAAGCCCAGTGTTCTCCAACTATCGTCCTCCTGTAGTGGAGGCACGCAAGTTTGACCTCACTTTTGGAGACACAAATGTCATTAGCAAGCTCGAAGCCCAAATCCCGTTCTACATATTACGGACTAACTCCAGTTGAATATGCTGCCTATGGTGGAATAAGGACAGGTCTTTCGCATGGCAGTGCTGCGCATCCTGCCACTGATGAAAACCCTGACATCACCCTACAGACAAAACTCTAGAGGACTCAGATGTCTCAAAGCAAGAAAAACATTTCAATGGACTTGAGGACGTAACCTCCGGGGACACAAAGAACTGTCATCCCACTCAGAAGTTCCAGAGGAAGGGATTTTCACACACTGCAATGACGATATCACAGAGGAAAGTTGGACTGGAACTCAGGATGTTGGGATAGAGTCAGTAAAAACATCTGCAGCGGAAACAATAGAACCCAACGTTCCCTTTGGATTGGCACAGAAAACAATACTGCAATCCACAAGTGATGCATCCACAACTAAAGCCTCATACTCAGAGGCTTCAATGCCAATACCTAAACCAGGTGAGGTACACACAAAAGGTCTGGTGCAGTTTTTGGCAGAGGCAGGGCAAAAAACAAGCATTGATCCAAACATTTACTCCTCACCTTTGGTCAAAGATTTAAATGCAGAATCACAATCTAAACCAAAAGGAGTAAATGTTCCCCTCACACCATCAAATCTTGATCAAACTAATTTTCTGCCTGATGAAATTTGCAATGCAGTGTCCAATGTTACAAATATAAATGAACAATTAGAAAAAATGGAAATAAACCTACTAAAATCAATCCATCATTACTCAATAATATAAATGTTCAACCAGCTGCCATGTTTATAACAAATCCAGCAGACTGGGAAACTAAAGTTTTTCCAAACCCTATGGCCCAGGTACAGAGTAAATTCCCAGAAAGTCAGTTATAAATAGCAGAGCTATTTCAGGTACAGAGTCTGCTGAACTGGTTTCAGAAATCCAGCTGTCTAGTAAAACAAATGAAGGTATTCAAGACAGAAACGATACTGAGTTCAAATACCAAATTAAAGCAAGCAAAAGCATTACTCTACCAAATAAAACAAATATAGGGTACACATTGTCATCTACAGAGCACACACATGAAAAAATACCCAAAGAGCCTCTTATCCCTACCAGAGGACTGATTCTTCCTCATGAGCCTGTGACAGCATCTGTTTGCTCTGGGCAGTACGATATCTGCACAATATCCTCAAAAACAAGCACAAGAACATTGCATCCACACAGTACAGAAACTCAAGTTTGTACAAATCACCAAGCTCTTAAAAACAACTTCAATTCGTTCCCATCTAATTTTTTGAATGCAAATATTTTACCAAGTAAACCTACCACAGAAACAAAAACAGATATCACACTTGGAGCTACAACCAGCACAAACCATCCACACATGCCAATGAAAGAGCTAGAAAAGCTAACAATGATACCTGTGAACGTGCCTGTAAAAACACAAAATAACATGGGGTGGCATTTCCCAAGTCAAGCCATGCAAGCAGAAACTCTCCATGCAACTTCATTTACATCTACAGAAATGTATACACAAACAACAAAGAATAGTCTAAACACTCAAGTGAGTCCCACATTCTTCAGCAAACACCAAAGCAGAAAGCTTTGCACCAAAGGAGATAGGGAACATGAGTATGCCAATAAATGAATGTAAGTTATCCAATAAATTACCTGGAAACACAAGTTTATCTGCACAAAATGGAGCTACTCAACACTTGACAGCCCAATCAAATGTTGGGTTCTGCAGCAATGTTGACAATATTCTTACAACTGAAAACACAATTCCAAACATACTTCACATGGAAGCATCTTTAACAACATTGGCAGAGTCAGCAGTGATTGTTAAACCAATGCTTAATGTTCAGCAACCTAGTAAAACTATGGTTCCTCCAGCCCCACAATGAGGCAAATCCCACCAAAAAGTCCTCAGATAAAATCGGACAGATTAGATAATCATTTTGCGTCAAAATCTTCAATGAATAAGAAATCAGTTATTGGGCCTCTTGATGGTAAAGTGTCTCAAAAATCTTCAGTACATAAACAGATCAGTAGACGTACCTATGCACCAAATGATTAAAACTACAGTAAAGGAAAATTATGCTGTTATTGAGCCAGATATGGATCCTGAATGCTTAGCAAGTCCATCGTCAAAAACTAAAAATTCTTCGACACTCGCAATGAAAGCGCAGATGCCCAATGCATCAGGTCAAATTGAGAGTAACATATTTTGTTTAAGTGAAAATATTCAATTTGAAAAGCCCAATCAAATACCTTTACCAGTAAATACATCTCAACAGTTTAGTAATCCTAATCAACTCCCAACAATATCCCAAACCAATGCCCCAAATGAGAATCCTCAATCCTTTCCAAGTGCTGTCGTAAATGAACACTCTACTAAAATCATCCAACCTATCAAAGAAGCTAACAAAGATTTCAAAGCCCCATATAGTCCTCCAATTACAAATAAACCATGGGCAGCAATAAGAGCGTCTCCATTACTTGAGCCAAGGGTGAGTTACACGCCTATACAAACGTACACTCCTACTTTACCCCAGTCCTATCAAAATCCTGTTACTTTGGACAGTTTGGCAAACACAAACCCTTCCTCAACCACTATAAACCAACTGAAACACTCTCCCAGTACGCCTTTTCAAAATATTACACCAAACAGTGTGGTTCAGCAGCATGAGAAGTCAGTCAAAGAAAGTATCTTAAAACCAGAAACTAAAAAGTCTCCACCAAATGACTCTTCGGTCAATGAGATAAAACTAATTTCCCCACCGGAAAACATGAAAACCATCCAATTTTCAAACCGAGAAGAAACTCTTTCCTCTCTAATGACTAAAAAACTAGTATGGCCAGTGACTCAGCTTTGAACAGGGCATCAATTTTAAAAGCAGATCCGTCGATTGAGCTAGTAGAATCGAGACCTTCCTCTGCCGTGGCAGAAATGAAACCCTCATTAGTAAAGCCAGAGCCTTCAAAGCCTCTCGTCAATTCAATCCAGACTAGTTCGCACTTGAATAATGAGAAACCAGTAGAGAATGCTTCCCTTGAACAGCCAGCAGCAGACAGTGTGATGAAACCATCCATAGTAAAAGATGCTGTGATTGATTCTGCCACTCCTGCCTCTCTGCCTCAGGCCTCAGTCTCAGTAAAAGCTCCATCTCCAAACAGAGGAACATCACCGTCATCTCAGCTAAAAACTGGACTCAAAGGCAAGGACATTCTGAAGGCTATAAGTACAGCCAAGGAAACGCCAGCAGTCGAACCCTTCATGAAGTCAACGACATCAACTGCATCTTCAGCTACTGAGAAAAAGTCGGAAGCAGAGGGAACATCAAGTTCATCCACTGAGCAAAAGCCAACCCAGAAGCTAAAAGGCCTTAAGGGGAAGCTCAGTGGGTGGACAAGGCTAAAAAAGCACATGGTTGTCGAGCCAGAGGAACCCAAATTTCCTGATCCCATGGACAAACCTCTGGTCACTCCTATTGGCAGCGACGGAATAACCGATAACATGATGGACATGCCGCCTGCTGACCTGGATATGAACCAGGAAGTTATTCAGGACAAAGAAGGACCCAAAGCACTAAAGATGTGGGATGCACTCCTCTTCCAAATGTTTTCTACCAAAGAAAAAATCATGCACCAAATCAATTCCAACAAGAAAGATTCAGAAACAAAAAAGGCCTCCAAAGACGACCAGGCAGCGATGCCATCGTTTGTCAACCGGCTGCCAATTTTACTGTACAGCCCTCGGTTTAATGCCAGGAAGCTGAAGGAAGCAGCAGAAAAGCCACTGATAAAATAGCAGCAGCTTTTGAAATAGGGCTGATAAAACGCAAATCTCAGGAAGAAGAACGTAAGGATTTCAACAGAACGGCGAAAGGATTCGGTCCGACTAAAAACACTGATGTAACTGATGAGGCTAATGGATGATGTGATCCATCATTTGGGTGATTTATCCCAAAATAACAATTCAGAATGGGTAAGCCATTCTGAAGGAATATTTCAGAAATGTGAGCTAAAATAGTTGGATATCTGATTGTACTAAATCAAAACTGTTGTATGTAGTAAGTGCATTTATACACTTTTCAAATACTTGTTTCAAATCTGGTTTTTAAAGTTTATTTTGAAGAATGCCAACAAGACAGAAAAAAAATGTTACATTTACTGCAAGAGGTTCAATTACATACACAACACTGTTGCACTTTTATGACAAATTCAATAAGGATGAAATTTGGGTGAGAATAAAACATAAGACAAAACATTTATTCTGTAGTTTTTATAGGTAGATTCTGTTTTCTGTTAATGGTGCCATAGATATTATTTGGGATGCATGAATTGTAGACAAATTGTCATGCTCCATTTTTCTATTTTTCTAAAGTAATTAAGTTTTAAGTGTGTTGTAGACAGGCAGGTTTTATTTGACGTGATAAAAAGGGCTTTTACATTCCTGGATTAACAGGACAGAACGTTTGCTAACGAAGAAAACGAATAAAGTTGAAATGAGTGGTTACAGTAACTGTAGGTTTCTGAAAGGAAAAGGGGAGGAAATGGGCCAGAACAGGTACCAGGTACTCGGTTCGTATTAGCCTTGCAAGATGTCATAGAACTCGAAACGTTCTAAACTTTAAAAACTGGCATTTTTTACCAATATATATATATATATATATATATATATATATATATATATATATATATATATATATATATATATATATATATATATATATATATATATATATATATATATATATATATATATATATATATATATATATCAAATATCACCACCAGCTGCCACTGGTTGATAGTAACCCGGATGTCGTTAGGATGAAGAAGATGGTAGAGAAGAGTGTGACTGTAGGAAAAACTCAAGAAGATGGAAAAAGATTTTTCAGAAGAAGTATGGATAAAAGCAGTTTTTTTAATTTAACCATATAAATCCCATTGTCTCTAAAACCTTCTTTAATAAAAACTGTAGAAATGATGATCATTTCTTGGTGATGGTAAAGAAAACGTAAAATGAGCAAAGCCCTGTTTATCACATCACTGTTTAATGCTATCTTGTAAACTGTCTGATTTTTTTTTAGAATATATAAAGAGCAAATCTATTTGTCTGTGTGTTCTTTTATTATATTGCCCATAATAAAAGTTATATGGTCCTTTATTTGAACATGTTTAGCTGTTTCATTTATTTATATTTGTAGATATATATAAATGTATTTCTGCTTGCAAAGTGCCAAAATAACAAGATTTTTCTCCTTTTTTTGACACACCCATTTTGTCACAACCGCACTTACTAAATATAATGTAAGAAAAATATAGGAAGCTACTTTCATACAAAAATAAAACAAGAAGCAACACAAAAAGATACATATACAGATAAAATTGTGAACACTAAATTAGATTAAATCAAATTATAATTTTTTATCCACCATTTAAAGACACTTCTCACCTGCCTGGCAGCTTTCATCTTCACTGCAGCCATTACCAGAAACCTTTGCATACTTGCCGTGACCTGTTACCACATATTTATATTTCTTGGTGGAGTTTTCCTGAAATTAATGAGAAAACAGTATTAATAATGTGCATTTCATAGACATCTGCACTGTATGTTCAGAGATTTATCCAAAACTTTTCTTATAGCACTATTACTTTACAGACATATTTTGTGTTTTAGAAGGAAAAAAACAAATAAAGCCAAATTAAATGTCTAGAATAAGCTAGAATAATTTCGAAAGCAAAGTTAAAAATGGGATAAAAATAATTTACAAATGCTTTAGCCATTAGTAAAGCTGGACAATATGGCTGAAAAGCAACATCAAATATTTTGTATCAGTTGATATTTGATAATTATTGATTTTTATTTTTTTTTTAATGCTAACTGGTGGTTTGGTCTTTCCTGTTTCATCCACAGTTTTACTCCACGGATTTGTTTTTTATTAAACAGTTAAGACGCACTGAAGCAAAATCGTAAACTGCTGCTGCGCAAGTTACTCAACAGGTTGTTGCTTGGTAACCAAAAGAGCATCAGTGAGTAAGGCTGCAGCCTGAAGTGACCCTATTCCCATTTTTTCGACGTAATGCGACCTGTATGCGATCTTTTCATGACAGTCTGAACAACACAGGTCGGATTCTTTCCGAATGCGACCCAGGCCACTTGGGTATCCGATTCAAATGTGGCCTAACGTGCAGGTTGCATTCCGACCTGTACGCCACGATACACGACAAATGTCACTATTCTGCGTGCTGGAAAGCAGGAAGAAAAACAACAACCATGAAGGACTATAATTAGGATTAAGTTGTTAATATGCTGCTCTGGTTGGACAACAACTTCAAATGTGTAAGCTATGCTCCACCATTAGCATCTATGCTAACTTCCGTTAACACAGAGCACTTTTTTTTTTATGGCGGTTGGTAAAACACTGAGAACGCTGACGATATTGCGCCCTCTACTGCCCATGCAGGATATTTTGAGGTCGTTTGGCTGTTCACGCTGCAAATCCGATCTGACAAAGAATCAGAACCGGGCCACTTCAGGCTGCAGTGTGAAGCCAAACTGTTTCTTCTGCATACATCTCCCAGAATGCTGTGTGGTTCTGGGTCAGAGTTCAGTTAATATTCTATATATTAAATATTGACCCATCTATTGACATTGATCTTATGTCTATTGTTATTGGTTTACAGTCCAGCCCCAGACATTACAAACAACAGATGTGTGCCAGATGTTAAGATTGATTGTCCCAGGTGAAGGTTTCTGGCTGCTGGTTTAAAAAAAAACACGTAAATGAATGTGATGAAGAGAAATTCAGTGGAGTTGCCGACTACCTTTCCGTCTCTTGTTGAAGGTAATGTGTCACCGAGGCTTTCCCATAAATTTCTTGTTTAAAACGCCACCAGGTCTTATTTCCTAAAACCAGGCAGAACCACAAACACAGGTTAGCCATCTTTGTCTGAATGAACTACCAAACGCCTGACAAACTGTGTCGGATTGACACCAGATGTGGAGACATGAGGCAGTGAATAAGACACCAATGAGAGCAGCTTTTGGATAAATCAACATGACAAGAGAATTTGAAGATGAAGCTGTTTTCATCTTCTACTTTAAACGCTCCTGGCAGGAGAAGCTCCATGTTTCCAGTTGAGCCACTTTGAGCATGATGAGCAATACCTCAAGCCTTTAGAAGTAAATACAGATGTTCTGAAGAAGGGTGTTGTCAGTTGTTTGACTCTAGGCAAAAGGAACATTGTAATGAATTCCTCAACCTGAATCTACAGACTTGGAAAACTGGAAATCCAGCTCAGAAATGCCCATAAAAACTCCGGGGAGCAGCTTGTAGAAAGTTGCAGACATGTGGAGTTTATATCCGGGATGACCGGCGACTGTCCGCTTTCAGGGAATTTAAAATTTTAATTATTCTAATGTTCATACTGTGATGAACTTTTCATTTTCAGGAAATTGTTTTCTCTTGACCGTATTTCCTCCAAACCTGAGAAACACAAAATCTTAAAAGTATTTTGGTTTCTAGTGTAAATATCTTAATTTACAAGTAATTTTTAAGCATGATTTGTTTTATGTCAGTAAGTCAAAAAGGAATCTGTCCGGCTTCAAACAGATTCTTCTTTTAACAAATTTTTTTTTTCATGTTATAAGTGAAAAAAAATTAACCAGTTTAAGTAGCACTTTTCCCTCAATATTAAGGGATTATTATTATAGTCCTATATCTCATTGAAAATTTACTTTTAAATCAGTCTGGTTTTATTTAAGGTGAACAAAATATTTGCATTAGAAACTAAGCAAAAATACTTGACAATGTTATTTGTTTTTGCAGTGACTTTTTCTGAAACTTTCCTTCAGAGCTAATGCAAGAAAACTGATGCAATTTATTTTCTGAAATTTGAATCCTAAATTGTTGACCATTGTTTTTAATTTATGGAGCCAAACTAAAAAGAAGGTAAAGGCAAGAAGCTGATGTTGTGCTTGAAATAAAAAGAAGCTCCAGCTCACTGCTGGTTTGATGGTGAGCCGCTCCTGCTTCCATCTTCGCCTCCTTTCACCCACTGGTTGATCAGGTCGGCCACGCCAACTTTTAAACCGTCTGCGTCCTGGAACAGGTGTGAAAAACTGCTTTTCTAAAAAATCTACAACAAGATGCCTCGGAAATCTCCAGAAACATTTTTCTTGGAAAAGCATATAGTTCAGCGGCGGATTGTTTTGCTCCTGACCTTGGATGCGGCGGCGGAGACGATGTTTTGGTTCCAGGCGTCTCCGGCCTCGAACAGATTCTTCGATGCGACCGGTTCAGTGGGGCTTGTGAGGTCGGTCAGCGCCTGACAGCTCGACCTTCCTTCCTTTGAGGAAAAAGCCTTACGGAGCTAAATCACGGCCATAAGTTTGTTCAAATAAAAACAAAAAAAAGAAAGTAAAAGCAGCAAACATTTTTTCAGTTTAAATTTCTTTTAGTTACAAACATTTTTTTCATTTTCAATTTCTTTTCATGTTGAACAACGTTTCTGGCCCCAATTTAGCTCCATAAAAATACTGAGATATTTATGCCAAATTGTGCCGCTTGGGACATTTGTGTCGCCCAGCTGCAGATCAAGAATAACACAAATTTGTTTACTCATTTTTAAATTTTCAAGCAAGCAAATGTTTCAAATGTTTTGAAAGAAACCCAAATCATGTTTTTATAACTGAGAATAAATTTGTTCAACTGAGACTAAAAATAATTACATACTTTTTTTGTAAAATAGAAATATTTGTTAATATATGACTATGTGAATTATTTATTGCTTGATATCAAGAAGTTCAAATTAAACAGTATCTCTAAATAATTAAAAAACAAAAGCAGAGATGGTTTTACCTCAAGAGCGTGCGTGTATTCCTCCAATCGCTTATCGATCTTAGAAACAGAAAGCCGTGGGAATGTCTTCTTTATGTTGCTGGTGCTTTAAAACGAAGAATGAAAAAATAAATGTGCACAGATTAAAGAGCATTGATGAACCATTGAGCAGTGGGAAGCTTTGAAACATGTTCTTTAAAGAAAATGAATATAATGAATTCACTATTATAAATCCAGGTCCATTTTAAATATATAATAGCATCAATAATATTTTCTAAGTTTACCTTTTTCTGAGAGACTCAGTCCTTTCTGTTATCTGAGGAAAAAAACAAAGAAGACATGAGAATGACTGGTTTAAACGCTTAAAAATGTTATTCTACCACATTTTGATACCTATAATGTTTATTTGTATGTGTGCATATAAATTATGAATCTAAATTTCTAACAACCTAAAGATGCATATATGGACAGCTTCTTGATTTGGCGCCTTTTTCAAGCAGTTGCTCAAAGACAAAAGGTTTATTTCTTCTGTCATGTGGGATCAAGGCCTGAACTCACCGAACATTTTCCATCCGGTGAGACTCGACCTTTCACCTCGTCCTGTTGAGAGACACAATGTCATGAAATGTCATTTCATAACATTTATAAAGATTGTTTTGTAACCTTTCTTTCTCTCCCTATTTCTCATATTCTCATCTGCTGTGGATCCAACTTCTGTTCAATTCACACCGTTTCCAGTTCATTTAGATTGTTTTGTTTTACAGAACAATGAGGACACAATGAAGACATATCACAGA